GCATTCTATGATTCTATGAATTACAGTGCAGTTTTGCATGTGCCGGTACTTAAAAGGACCTGGATGAGACTCTCTCTTGCCTCCTTGCTTGCTAGGAAGTGGATGTGGTGGTAGCACCGTGCCGTGGGTTCCAGCCTGCCGAAGCCACCCTGGGAGAGTACGTGAACCACGTCCTGCCCGTGCTCGTCTTCGCCGTCAGCGAGGCGGAACTTTCCCCGTCGGACGAGAACGAACTGCGCGAAATCAAAGAGAAATTTTCCCTGCCCGTTTTCTTCTTCAAAGTGCCAGAGTCGGGGGCCGAGCTGATCTCCCACAAAAAAACTGATGCTGAAAAGTCCTCTCTTCACTGCCAGCTGCTGGACTTGGAGTACCTGAGCAGCCAGCACTGCAGCTGCGGCGCGCCGGGGCCGGACGCCGGCGCCCAGAGCATGTTGGTGGAGCAGCCCGAGAAGCTCCGTCTGCTGAGCACCTTCTCCAGGCAGGTCCTGCAGAAGCACCTGGTGGAGGCGGCCACCAGGCTGAACGAGGTGCACTGCCGCTGCCTCAACATCTTCATCAACCAGGCGTTCGACATGCAGCGGGACCTGCAGATCACCCCCAAGCGGCTGGAGTACACCCGCAGGAAGGAGAACGAGCTCTACGAGTCCCTCATGAACATCGCCAACCGCAAGCAAGAGGAGATGAAGGACATGATCGTAGAGACTCTGAATAATATGAAAGAGGAGCTCTTGGAAGATGCTGCTACTATGGAATTCAAAGGTAATTACCGCAAGGGAAATGAGGAGGAGGAGGTTAGGGGCTTTTAAGGAGGGGGAACGAGTGATATTTGCCACCTGTTAAAGAACAGTTGAATGTCAGTCTAGATGGGTGACGCTGGAAGCAAATTCGGAACTACTACAAATGCTTTGTGTATTATCTCCTTAATATGGCCTAAATATGGTTTCTTATAAGCAGCATCCTCCACACCCCACTTCCAGCTTTCTGCATGGTCCCAGGTAGCATGATTTCTTCTGTTTTAATTCCCTATTCTGCAAGGTAAGAAAAGTCTCAGCCTTTTCCTCAGCAAGTGTGTTAAGATTTGGGATTAAATCCCTCCTAAGGCGGGGGGGTGGAGGGAGATTTATTTGCATTTTCTGCTCAGTTTCCTCATGTCTGAGGGATGTTTAAGGGTCTTGAGTATAGAACCTTCTAAAAATGTAATTCTTTTGGGTAGGTAAGACTTTCCATAAACAGGAATTTATGCTAATACTGTGTTCCTCAGAGCCCGTGCTTTGCATCTGGGGGTGGTTTTTAGAGGGGGAAGTAGGAATTTTCACTGCACCCTTCTAGTGCCAGAACTTCCAGGAACAGCAGCAGGTAGAAGAATAGAGAGGGTGAGATGGTATCTGCACCCTGCCTGTGTGAATACCGGGTCTATCATAAGCATCAAAGTGATTATTTGTAGGTTGATGCTCTGCAGTTCTGCTTGCTTGATAGAGGTTTAAATCATTTCTCTTCAAGAGTCCTGAAACTGAAATGCAGCTCACTAGGCTGACATGGGAAAGTTCTTCTCCTTACAATAAAGTTGCAATTTAAGCTATAGGTTCAGAGGAAATTATTTTGTTGCAAGTAGAGCACTCTTCTGAGATATCAAAGAGGCTAAAACTCTAGAGAAAAAAATTAGGTTTGGCCTGGCTTATTTCTTCCCAGGTTCAAAATGGGATGTTATTTCCTGGGACAAAGAGGAGAAATGATGCATTAGTCTTCTCCTGTGTATTTTTGCTTCTGCAGGTGGCCATGGAAAAGGTCTTTCCTGTTCCTTGGGTTGTTTCCTGTATAGTGGCCACTTGAAATGTAACCTTTATGAGAAGCTTGTGTTAAGTACAACGTATATGTACACATACTTGAGATATGTATATGTGTGTTCATGCACATACCTAAAACAGCAACAAATATCACAAAATGCAGCATCTTGTTGACTCTTGTCCTTGGGGGCAGAAGTTGTCCTCACTGAGGCTGTGCTGTCCCTGCTCTGCAAACCATTTAAAGCAGCTCTCAGTAGCTGATAATGCAACTCTGATATGCTTAGAAAGTACAAAAAATGCTTCTTTCTTTTCCTCTGTGCAGACATCATAATTCCTGAGAACGGGGAACCTGTTAGCTCCAAGGACATAAAGTGCTGTATTAAGCAAATCCAGGAACTGATTATTTCTCGATTAAATCAAGCAGTTGCCAACAAGTTAATTAGCTCAGTGGACTATCTGCGAGAGAGCTTTGTAGGGACGCTGGAGAGGTGTCTGAAGAGCCTGGAGGAGTCTTGGGACGTTTCCGTGCACACCGCAAGGAGCTTGGAGAAGGCCAAGGATGCCTCCGTGCACATCACAAGCAATTATCTCAAACAGGTAGGGTGGCTCGAGCGGCTCCCTGGACTGATGCTTAATTGTTGCCCTCCTGATGCAACGAGGGTGGGAGGAACCTGAGGTGTCCAGTGAAACCAGAGGAATGCAACAGCTCTGGAGTCCTTGTGTATCCGATGCCCTTAAGGGCCATGCCAATATTTGGAGATATTATTCCTAGTTTGTCATTCGAAAACCTGCTGCTGTCCTTCCTAAATTTCCTTAAGGAATCAAATTGCAGCCTAGAAATACCTATGAATAGAATAAAATAAACTGAATCAGGCAAATCAGCATCTTGCTTGGTGTCCTTTGGCCATTAGCAGAGACAAGATGTGTCTAGGAACTTTTATAGCTACTGGTTTGCAGAGTTTCCACCCTCTTCTTCCCCTTTCTTCCCAGATACTCAATGCAGCCTATCATGTTGAAGTCACTTTTCACTCTGGCTCGACAGTAACCAGGATGCTGTGGGAACAGATCAAACAGGTCTGGGCATTTTTATCACTTGTTTTTAGTAGGGGTTATTATACAGTGATTTTTGGAGCAAAGGCTGTAGTGAATATTCGCTGCTGCCCTCAACTCTGGCTCTGGATTTATGGAAGTTTCTGCTGTAAGAGATGTTAATGACCTCTAATGCCATCAGCCTCTTGGTGTTCCTTCCAAATTGTATCGAGGGTTTTGTGTGGGTAGCTGTGGGGAATAGGGGAGTCAGCACCACGGACTGAGTGGCATCAACCAGATTCTTTCTGCAGCCTGGGGAGAGGGTTCAGGCTGCGTGAGCAGCAGCTGGGCTTCTGGGGCCCCTATAAGAGACTGGGGAAGAGCATCTTGGAAGCAGTGTAAGGGAAGTGGTGCACACCAAGACTCCTGGATGCAGGATCTCTGCACCTGGCAGCATGTCTGTCTGAAAAGATGTTCCACCGTAGCTCTCAACTTAGGAATTTTTTCTGAGTCTCTGGTTTACTGTTCATGCTGTTTTTTTCACCTGAAGAGCTGGCTCTTGCAGCTCTGGTGTTCCTTAATATTAATTTATGCAGATGGTGGTTGTTCCATTAGTGGCCAATGCACCTGCAGCATCGTTAGGTAACAGCCCCTTACTGAGGACAGAACCAGCCCTCGCTCCTCACTGCAGCAGTGAGGTCTTCCAGTCTGTGGCTGTGTGTGATTTACAGTCTTGGTCATAAATATGAAAGGATGTTTGGGTAGGAATGAACTGAGGGGATATTCCGAAGAATTGGATCTCTAAATACTTTGTGTGTGTATGTACAACTCTAAAAATCATTTAACCCAGTTCTGCAAGAAGATAAATTTATGTATTATTACAGCAAAGTATCTAAAGAGTCTGTGAAGTGATTGACTCTCTGCTTTTTTGTGCTAGTGCCTTGATGCTGTTCCCTGTTTCCCAGATAATCCAGCGGATTACGTGGGTCAGCCCACCTGCCATCACCAGTGACTGGAAGAGGAAAGTTGCTCAGGATGCTATTGAGAGCCTCAGTGCATCCAAGTTGGCCAAGAGCATTTGCAGCCAATTCCGGACCAGGCTAAACAGTTCCCATGAGGCTTTTGCTGCTTCTCTAAGACAGGCAAGTGCTGTAAAGAAAGAAGTTGTATTTTGTATGTTATCACTATTGGGAAGTGTTATTTTTAATAGCAGGGGTAGGTAACAGAGCAGTCCATGCTCACCGCAGGTAGAGATGGAAGAGCTGATGTGAGCACCCTAATAAAAAAAATTTCATTTTGCAGTAAGGGCTGGTTAAGCAGGATCTCAGTTGTACAATGACAGCGCTGTGGTTTTAGACCAAGGAGGATGACCATTATATTTGATATTTTTGCAGTTAGAAGATGGCCATTCTGGCAGGCTGGAGAAAACAGAAGACCTGTGGCTGAAGGTGCGGAAGGACCACGCGCCTCGGCTGGCGCGTCTCTCTCTGGAGAGCAGGTCCCTCCAAGACGTGCTCTTGTACGGTGAGCATCGTGCTCCATGTTCTCTGGGACATCTTCCCTCCTCCTTTGCAAGAAGCCAGGGTGAAGGGGGAGGAAGGGGCTTGCTTTGCAGTAAGCTCTCTCAGTGGGTCTCTGTGTACTGAGTCCTGTGGATTGTACAGCTTCTGGCCCAGGAAAAGGAGCAGGCTGCCAGCCCGATGCAGTAGGAGGGTGTTTAAGTTGCTGACTAAATGGATGTTGTGCCTTCCAGGCAAGCCCAAGCTGGGCCGCGAGCTGGGCCGAGGACAGTACGGCGTGGTCTATCTGTGTGACAGCTGGGGAGGGCATTTCCCATGTGCACTGAAATCTGTTGTTCCTCCAGATGAGAAACACTGGAACGACCTTGCACTTGAGTTTCACTATATGAGGTGGGTGTTGTAAGTGCTTTTCTGACCTCCACATGGATTTGCTTAACCTCACTGCTGCAAGCAGAATGCTGTTATATGTAGGACTAACACAGGGGTGTGTGTGTTACTGTTCTAAGGTGGCAGTTATTGGACAGTTTTTTTTCTTTATGAGATTAGGCGTGTCCAGGAGGGGAGGAAAGGATATAAAAATGACTGTTTTTCTGTGCTGAACTTCCTCTAGGTCTCTACAGACGCACGAGCGGTTGGTACATCTCCATGGTTCTGTAATAGATTATGGCTATGGAGGAGGTTCCAGCATTGCTGTCCTCTTGATAATGGAACGGCTGCACAGAGACCTCTATACAGGACTAAAGGTACTGAGAATCTGTCAAAAAAAAGCCTATAGCTCTGTGTCCAGGTGTAAAATGAAGCCTACTAATTCCTGATCTAGTAAAACTGCGTTAAAGTAGTAAGAGCAGCTCCTGCCCTGTCTCCTGTTCAGTAACTTTCTGGAAGGATGGCTTTGCAGGAGTTATTGCTGCCTTTTCAGCATAGTTTGGCAAAGAAGGGTAAGGAAATCCCTTAGATAAATGTAACTTCCACTTACAGGCTTAAATCTGTTTGTTTATTCTTCAGGCTGGGCTAGAATTAGAAACACGATTACAGATCGCCTTGGATGTGGTTGAAGGAATCCGTTATCTTCACAGTCAGGGACTTGTGCACCGGGATATCAAACTTAAAAATGTCTTGGTAAGGAAAACTTCTGTGTCTGGCTAATTCTGAGGACTAATCAGGCCTTTTTAGTGAGAAGGAGAAACATGGTAGAAGTGAAGTCGTAGCCTTCCTCGTATGGAAAGTTTCTCTTGTGATAGGTTAGTGGTAGTTCTTAGCATTCAGTGGTGTTTACAAAAAAAATAACTTTGCAGTGAGGCTTTGCTAGCTCAAATTCAGATAGAAAGCCTAGGGGGAAGGGAGCAGTCGAGTGGCTTCCTGAAGGCACCTGAGCTAGAAGTAGGATTTCCAGTTCCTAGTTCTATTAAACTAACCACACCCTCCGTGTAGAGGACAAGTGAAGACCTGTCTAGTTACTGAGCCTCACTGGTGAAGTGTCCTATTAGCAGCCAAGTCACCAGAGAGGCTTTTTTTAAAGAACAAGTACTGAACCCTTCAAACGATATTAAAAAGCAATATTGAAACTGAAAGGTATGATTTTTATCAGCTGTTTGTATATGACTGATTCTGCAGCTTGACAAAAAGAATCGAGGCAAAATCACTGACCTGGGGTTCTGTAAACCAGAAGCGATGATGTCTGGCAGCATTGTGGGCACCCCCATTCACATGGCTCCCGAGCTCTTTACAGGTACTCTTGTAATAAACCACTAATTGCTGAACTTTTCTGAAATGTGTCTAGCCTTCTCAACCAGCAATGGGCCATGAATCTCAGTTTGGGAACCACTGATGCAACATTAAGAGGGTTTAGTTTGAGTATTCTGCATGCTCAAGTTAGTCTCAGAGTGCTCAGCTTCTGGTGATGTAGAAAATGTTTGTCATCTAATCACGTATTTATTTGCCACAGGAAAGTATGATAACTCAGTGGATGTTTATGCATTTGGGATTCTGTTTTGGTACATTTGTTCGGGCCATGTGAAGTTACCAGAAGCGTTTGAGAGATGTGCAAGCAAGGACCACCTTTGGAACAATGTTAGAAGAGGTACAGTGACCTTTACTCAAGCACATGGTATCACCTGATAAAATTTGAGAGCAGATAAGGAATCAATTTTTATCGTCTTTTAACTGAAAGGTTAAAAATTGTATTTTTTTAAACTGTCTAAAGAGTTGATCTGGTGGAACTTGGACATGCTTTGAAAACCTAACAAAAATAGGCAGAGATGAAAAAATAGCTTCCAGTTAAGCACCTCCTTCCTGCGTGTTGTAGGATCTGTGCTATGCAACACTTGAGCGTTGTATAACTCCAGATGGTTGTGATGTAAAACACACTGTAGAACCAGCCAGCTATGGCATGATCCTCCAAAGAATGCTTAATCCCTTGCAATTTCTGGAGGCCATAGGGATCTTTATGTTCAAGTGCTCAATATGCAGTGTGCTGGGGAAGCTGTCATGGATGGGCTGGATGTTGAGTAGAAAAGTGGCAGTTTCTCTTTTTTTTTTTTTTTTTTTTTTTTTTCTGAAAAAATAAAGCTATTATGCTTAAGGAGTTTTAGTGTGCTTCTGTGTTTTGTGATACCTTAATCCTCCATGCTGCATCATGGCATCAGAATGCTTTACTACTTTGTCCCAAGTTTCCTGTCCATATAATCTCTCCCCTTTCTCATGTGAAAAAGATTAACCCAAATAAATGAGTCTTGTATTTGGCCAGACAGCCTCTGCTCATTGCTTGTTCTCATGGTGAACTTGCTCCCAAACATGCACCATGCTGATGGGTGGGGAGGGGAATAGAGTTTTCAGGGTGTTTGCCTTTTCAATAAGGGAGGATGTCCTTATTTTTTGTCCCAGGTAGTTGCAAAGAGGAGGCACTATGAAACTAAATGTGCTAGTTATCCTCTGGAAGGCTGCGTGATCTACTGATGACTAAGAGTATCCAGAAATGGCTCACAGTTGCTGTAAATAAGCCTTTATTGATGGCACAAGACCCCAGACAGTCCCTGGTCAACTCTGCACCAAAGTGACAAGCATAAGACTAAGTTTGTCCCGGTTGAGGTGTGTGGATGTTAACCAGCTCCCTCGCTGTTTTCCAGGAGTTCGCCCAGAGCGTCTTCCAGTGTTTGATGAGGAATGCTGGCAGCTGATGGAAGCTTGTTGGGATGGGGACTCCTCCCAGCGCCCGCTCCTGGGAATTGTTCAGCCTATGCTGCAGGGGATCATGGACAGGCTCTGCAAGGCCAGCTCCGAGCACCCAAATAAAGGCTTGGATGACTCTACTTGAAAAGGAAGCACAGAAGAATTTTTAACGGAGAGAATTCGGAACCCCTAACTCTGCAGATGGCTTCTTCAGATGTAGCTCTTGGTGGCTAACGTGAGTGGGACAGGTAATAGCAGCCCAAAGATTGCTCAGAGGTGAGACCCTGGGGACGTTGCATCTTGAATAGCGGACAGAGAAATCTCCCTGGAATACCCCATTGATGCTAGTTTCCCTGCTGCAGCTTCGATTAGAGGTGAGCAAATAAGATAGAAACTCCATGCCCTTGGACTGAAAGGGATTTTTTTTTGCCAATCCCGCATAAAACTCCAGTGAGACAAAAGCATCTTGTGTTTCAGGTAGCACCCGAGTTGCTAGGAGTTGATCCAGACAGTGGTTGAAACAAAAGCTCTTCCCATTAACTGACAGTCCTGGGTGGCCTTGGGTCTATACATAGCTATTCCAATCACTTATCCATTGGCACCAATTCCAGTGCAGTGGGAAAGGAAAGAGAAGGCAGAGGCTTCAGGCTAGAAGGGGTTAGAGGATGGGAATGTCTATTTTTATTAGCTTCTTGCAACACTCATAATGTTTACATGCACAGGAGTAAAGCTTCCGTGTTTTACCTAAGGGGGGATTATTCAGTGTTCCATTACAGTGAAAATACCCCAAGTTATAAGCTCTTATGTTCCCTTCACCTCTTATTGCTTTAAAAAAGCTCTTTTGTGGTATTTCTGCTTTGTAATGGCTACTAGAAGTCTGAACAAACCTGACCTTAACTACAGTATTCTGGGAAAATGGTAAAACTGCTCAGAGGTTACCTATTGGAATACAGAAACATAAAGTCATTGCCACTAATGACTGTCCATGGGGGAAAAAGCAGATTCATTTTAAATGGGGGTTCTGAATTAGTTGTAAAGGCAATGACAGTTTTAAATTGTGCTAACTATTGGCAGACATTTTTAAAAAAGAATAAGGTTTCTTCAGATTTTTTTAAAGTCACATGCTTGGTGAGAGCGTAATCTAGGGAAAACAGGTCCTTCATTCTTCAGTAGCCGTGTGTTGTGGCTGTGTCTGCTCATCTGATTGCTTCACTTGGGGATCTCTCTTTTGGCTGCATTGAAAAGAGTAAAGATGGGGGTGGGAGGGAGGCAAATCCTTTGCAAGGAAGGCATCGCTTGGGATGGTCCTCATGCCCTAAAAGGGCTTCTGGAAGTACCTTGTCCTCTGTCTTTGGCATTTCTGGGGCAAGGCGGATCTCAATGTAACGTGCCAATGGGGTGGAGGTTGGAATAGAAAAAGACACCTTAATAGATGAGGAAATACGGAGCTGGCAGCTTCCTCCCTGGGTTTGCTGTTGCTGCCAGCTGTGGGGTGGGCAGGAAAGCTCCTGTCCTGTGTCCAGGATGGTGCAGGCGTGTGGACCTGCTGCACCTCCTCGCTGGGACTTGCTGGTTGATACCCAGCAAAATGCCAGCCCACAGTCTGCTCGTTGAACAGCTCGAACAAAGGAAAGGGATAAATGACCCTGCAGTGTTAGCTTAGCTTAAATCTTTCTTCGTGCAATAAATTGAATTAATGCTTTTAAAAAAAGAACAAAAACAAAAAAAAAAAAAACTTTTTTATTTACCTGCACACGTGGGCATTTTTGTGGCCTCTGATGGCGTTAAGAGTATAGTCCTATCCGGATAGGAGCCTCTGCAACTAGTGCAGCTGGAAGTGCAGCAAGTGCGAACCACATGCACAGAACGACCCCTTTTCCCAAGGGGAATCGTCGGGCGTTTCACTGCCTCGGTGTGTACGTGCATGCCACCAATGACACTAACAGTATTAACTCCGCTTCCTCTGTGTCGTGGCTAGTAACCTTATTTAAAAGTGGGAGAGTCGAGGTCAGTCTCTTGCAATTTAATAGTTTGTATAAATAATACATGTATGAATAAAACGTAAATGTCTGTATATGCAATTCCAAAAATGTCTTGTATAGCTTTTCCTATGTAGCTATTGCCAGACACTTACCTGGTGCCTTTTTAATGTTGTGTATAGCTACCTTGATGTCTTGTTTAGTTTCTCTTTTTGCACGTGCAGCATCCTGGACCTCCAGGTTTTCCCCAGCTTAATAAGCTGCTTCTCTGCATTTCTTTTTCTATTTGGTTTAAAGTCTTAGACTAGTTTTGGGGGATTTTAGACTTGTTTTGAGAGGTTTCATACACCCTATTATCTTTATAACGAGTGGGGGTTCTTCCTCATTAGAGCAAGGAAAATAAAGTGAATAAATTATAACTTTATTAAATTTCACAAACTGCAACCACAGACACTTATATGGAATTATATGACAAAACTGTAAAGCAGTAACTCCACTATGTTAAGCTTGTGCAGTTGGACTGAGTAGCTATTCTTTGTGGAAATGAGGCTGCCTTTGTATCCTTACTCTACTGAGGTGGTTTGTTACTGTAAAATATAGGATTTTTTTAAAAAAGGTACGTAGATCTAAGCGTTATACAGCTTACCACGTGTAACCACGTCCTGGACTAGCTGTTGTGGATGGCCACACACCCGTGTGTGCTGTTACGGTAGTGTCACACTAATGGTCACTTAAACAGCACAGGCTGAATCCCGCTGAGGCCGACTGCTGTGAACACTGACACATCCACGTTTTCCCTCTTCCCTTCCTGCAGACCCATCTCTTGGGAAGGTGCCCGTGTGGAGTTCAGGCCTGTAATAATTTGAAAAGAAACATTGTTTACCGAGGTTACTGTAAGGTTTACATGCTGCTGCTGCAGCGGCTATAGCTGGTGCTCCGCTAGTCTTTAGGTGACACAGAGGAAGCAGAAGATAGAGCTGCGAGGTGAAGGCAGAGTTAGGTTTGCTCCTCTGCTTCCCCCTTTCCTGGTGAACACTACATGGAGGGAGAGGGGCTGGGAGCAAATGCTCTGAACAGGGAGGAGAGCTGTGGGGCTGCCTGAGCCCTCCGGCCCGCTCCCTACATCCCCCTGTCCCCTCCCTGGTGTATCTAGACCTGCAGGACACGCTCCAGGGCTGCCTTGCAGGACCAAATCCTTACTGAATGCAGCGAGTTGTGTCGGTTACACTAAAGGGCAGCGAGGGGGGTGGCTGTTCCCTTGTCCCCTGCAGCCACCGCTGCGGTGCCAGGACGGGGCGAGCAGCCGGCTCCGCTCCGGTGAATTGTAGCTAAAAGAGGTTGCACGGGGTAATTTTCCCTTGGCCTTGCCGGCCTTTTAAAGGGGAAAACAGCCGTGTCCCCGCGCGCACCCCCGAGGGGCCGTTGAGCGACGGCCAAAGCTCTTCCCGGGGGGCTTCGTGTGGGACCTGCCCCTGCAGCTCCGCGCGCTGCCTTTTGTACCGCTTCTCCGCGCGTTATTGTAAAGAACTGATGTATTTACCATGTTATAGGAAAAAAACAATGTGTAACAAACTTACTAAGTGCATAGGAAGAGAAAAAAAAAAAAAAAAAGTGCAATAACCACAATGACCCAATAAACGGATTTTGTACGCGCCCGTGTCCCGGCTGCTGCCCTGCCACGCGCATGCGCGCTCGCGCCGCGCCTTGGCGCCCATCTCCGGGCAACGGC